AAGAGCTCAGCGTGAGCCCTCAGCTGGTGCCCTGCAGTAACCTATTGTACCAGAAGGTGCTTCCCACTCCCTGACTCGTTTCCTTGGGCAGTGAAAGCTGTTAATAGCTGAGACTGGAAATAAGATATTTTGCCCTATCTCTTTTCATGAATATTTTAAACCATTTGGTGTAAGTTGCATGTAAACAGACATGTGAAATATTGTGGATTGGCCTGAATCTTGTAATTATAATAAGCCTTAAATTATAAAGCTGAACTTACACATGTTTGTATTTTTTTTAAAAAAAGGCTTTTTTAATGTGCACTCTTTAATATAATATAGTTTAAAAGAGTTATCCTCAGCAGACAAGTGAACTCTTGAAGTGCTGCCCAATACGGTTAGTCAACTTCTAATACAAATATGTGATGCTCCTGACAGCTTTTTACCTATATCATAAAAAATTCTGCTGATTAAGAGACTGAAATACATACTGCTAGCCTTGGCAAGTGTCTCTGCTCTTCTGGTCCATAGATTCCTGGTGGGCGAAGAACACACGTGTGGAGTGTTCCACCTCCTAGAAGAATTGACAAAACCATCCTTAAGTTACTTTCACATGACCACATTGTGTCTTTCTTTGTATGAACCAAAGGTAGCAGAACTCACTCTGAAACAAATTCATTTCACCATCTTAATAAAAAACAACCCACATACCAAAAGGTGTCGCATTGGTAGTTGGATATTAAGTTGGCAAAATCAGAACATACAAAACAGCAAGAGAAGATTGAGAGAAGTGTTCCTAGAAATTACCAGACATTTCAAAACCTCTTTCTAAGCAGTCCCTTGTGCCTGTGCCAGAGCAGTGAATGAGTGTGCCACCTGTGGAGATGAGTTTGGTGAAGTGAGCAAGTTATTGGTAGCCAAGTGCAATGAAACCGGCTAATCTCACACGAAATGACTGATGGGAAGCAGTGACTCTCTGGCAGTACAAGGCAGAGCTGAAAGGTTCTCTCAACCACAGGCACAGCTCTGAGCAGACATGATGTAGGAGATCTTGACAATTTCGTTGTGAGATAGTAAGGATTATTGTAAAATTCCAGTAGCTTCCCAAGTCTTTCAGTTGGATGGTTCATCATCTGCTAATAACTGTTGTTACCAGTACTTGCAAACATGTAAAATACTCAGTCCTGCTACAGCACAGGCTCAAAATGGGACGTTTGGAACACTGAGTAGTTCTAATTTCATTGACAAATTCAGAACTGTGTATTGCTCCTAATATTAAGAGGAACTTTGATGTGAAGAGCTGCTGAGGAAATAAGGAAAAAAAACACCTTTGTTTTTTCAGGCAAAATGATTCTCTTGGGATGGAATGCCCATCAGTGACTTTCTATCTCTTAGAGCCCTCTGCAAGTATCAAGTGAAGAGAGTCTTTTCTGTACGTTGTCTACAGCTAAATTTAGCTCAGTATCACTTGGTCACATCGAATCGTGTTGCACTTTACATTAATTTGTTTTGCACTGGCAGTTATAGTATCTCACAGCTGAGCTTAAGTATGCCAGTGTATTACCAGCTTCCTCAACATGGAAAACTTTGGGAAGCACTAATAAATAATTCCAGGCTGTAGGATCAGGTGGCTACTTCAGATTTTAATATACAACTCAAGGGGGGTGGGGGTGTAACAATTTAATCAGCATTCATGTTTTACTTATGTTGCATAAGACAGTGTCATTAAACACTTGTTTTTGTTTAATTTATAGCTGTCTTAGCCTTTTCCATTAACATCCTGAACTCCTTGCTACTATGCTAAAACCTTTTATGGGCATTGTGGGAACTTAAAACCAATTAAAAGTAATTTTTAGGTGAAAATAATTTATGAGAATGGGGTGTTAATTTTGTAATTGCTGGAGAGTCTTGTCCACTAAGGATTGAGAGAGAACACAGGACATTAATGAGGAACAAGAAGAGGAGGAGTCAGTTCTACTATGAATCCATGCTCAGGCAGAAGTACCTGCTAGTGGAGTTCCATTAGCTGCTAGTACCATTTGTTCTGCAATTGATTTGGTTCTGGAATAATGATCAACATGCTACAGAGAAAAAGCAAACACATTTTTATCTGCTCTTGGAACGACAGGGCAGGGAGACATCTCTTCTCCACTGGTTTTTACTTAGCAGATGGCAACAAATGCCTCAAGATACAGAAGCCTTGGGGTGTTGAGTGTAGGGTGAAACACATGCATATTGCTAAGGTGAGCAGCATTTTTGTTTATGCAAGTCTGATTAATTCATTTCAGCACATCTGAGAAGCAATAAATATATGTATGCTTTGAATGCTGCCAGGAATGTAACTGATCACTGCTTTGTAATCTGGATTTCTTCTTCAGGTAATGGAAAAGTCAAAAGCCAAGTTTGGAAGGCACCACACTTGGCCTGAAGTGTCCTGTTCACTTCCATGTGGCACTGTCCCAGAGAAAATGCTCTTTGAATTCTTATTTTAAATATTATTCAGTATTTTCTCTCCATCTCTACTTCCTGAAAGACTGAAGTACTTGATGGAGAGAGGAGGGACACAAAAAACAGCTGTATGGAAAGCACCCAGAAGCACTTTCTCCTTTTGAATTAAGTGCAATAAACCCATCTAAAACTAGGCTGCTTTTCCAGATCAGCTCCACATTGAATATATGTAAGTTTCAATTTGGGAGGAGCAGAAAAATTATGTAGATAATAAATAGCTATTGAGGCACCAAGCCATATAACCCAATCCCTCTGTCCAAGTGGTATTTCCTTGATGTTAATGGGACACTGAGTTATTTTCCAAAATCAAGGTCTTAATAGGAAACAAATATATACTGCAGTGTACTGATGTGTCAATGTTGTGAATCATACCTACAAAGAGTGTAAAGAGCTTTCTTTCTCGGAATCACAGAATGGTTTGGGTTGGAAGGGACCACAGACATCATTTAGTTCCAACCCCCTGCCATGGGCAGGGACACCTTCCACTAGACCAGTTTGATCAGAGCCCCATCCAACCTGGCCCAATCCAACCTGGCCTTGCTTTGTGCCTGGATTCTGGCATCAGGCAAAACATGGTCATGAAAACTCTGAGGCTTTTTCAGAAACAATAAAGTAAAAAAAAAGAAAGAGGAAACTTGAAAATATGATACAACCAAAATACCTTTTCAATTGGAAAATATGGCACAGTTTCCTCATCCCCATCTTCAATAGGGAGCCCTCCAAACACCACATTTACTGTACTGGTGTAGATCAGCCGAGCGATGTTCTGCTGTTTGCAGGCTGCAGCAATGGAGAGAGTAAATTACTTTAGTGGAAAATGAAATTATATGGGGGGAAAAAAGTTTGTATGACCTTTTTCTGAGAAACTGTCAAATCTTAAAAGAGCAAATCCTTCCATGTTATAATTGGGTGAGTATAAATGCAAAGCGTGTTTAGAGGGAAGATATCAGAGTAGAACCAAGGACTTTCCTATCTGGCACATCCTAATTTGGGTGCTGTGCTCCTGGGAAGGTTCTCCAGCCAGGCAGGGGTTGAGAAGTCCTTTTTCTGCAAGAGCTGCCCACGGGCACTGCCTGGGCACAAGGTTTAGTGCTACAACAACGTGGAAATTGTTAACTCCTTACCTGGATATGGATTCTTATCTCAGGCAAACAAGGTTACAAGAAGCTGAAGTAGCTAAACTACTCTCCTATCACACCCCATAGCAGCATGGAGCAGACCCTCACCCTCCCATGACATGTTTGCTCATCTTCTGCCAGCAATGTGAAGTATTTGGTAACCAATAGCATGTACCAAAAAGGCCAACTGGCTTTCTCTAAGTGGTATATAATACTTGATATCCTGTACTAACACCCAATGGCAAAGTTAGGTACATACCATTGATGATGAATCTTGTTCCATTAATGTTTACAGTTTCAATCTCTTCCCTGTGCAACTAGAAAAAGACAGAAATTATGTAGTTTTTGAATAATAATACATATTAAATTCAATAGTGGATGTTATAAATGGCCTCAAATAAATGCATTGTGGTGCTTTGATTATAAAAAGGTAGTTTAGACTGCTGTTTCAGACTTCAAGAAGTCTAGTCATTATTTTTAAACTCTGCCTGTATTTTTCTTGGGTTTTTGCAGATGAGTCTGCTTGAAGCAAAGAGAATCACAGTGCTTCTAAAAACACATGTGCAGTTATTACACAGCCTGCAGCAGTGTGTTCCAGATCTGGGTTTCAGTAGCTCTTCAGTTACCAGTTGCCTCTGCCCAGAGCAATTCCAGTTGTGCCCTGCAGTGGCAAATATGTCTGAATGAGCTCTTCCAGCCAGGTAAGTGACTCTAAGCATAAAAATTGTCACTCAGGGACCTACATCAAGTACATCCTTACAGCTTTTTACTCAGTGGCAAAGACTTGAAATATAGACATTGTTATAATTTAGATATATAAAATAATATGTAATTTAGTTCAGGTTTTATTCTTCACAGTGACCTCACACCTAGGAGTTCCATGCGAAGTTTTAGGGAAGGATCAGCTGTTTTTGAGGGAAGCAGCCTCCCTTGTCTTTGCCTTTGTTTTCACACTGTTTCAGAACTCTTCAATGCCATTTCCATCTCAAACACCCTCCCAGGGTGCTGGTGGAGCCTCTCACGGGGAGGAAAAGAGAGAGCAGCACCCCAGGCAGCTCCTTGCAGCTGGCACTCCAGTTTGCACACAGCAATTTAGCAAACCAGCAGGGCAATGTGAAGAGAGAAAATCTGTCATGCAGTGTTACAGCATCAAGTGGCTCATCCTCAGTGTGGACAGACACACACAAAAAAACCCAAAGCTATTTGGACTCACTTGCTCTCTTCCTGACATTCCATATGAAGCTACATGAAACACACAGTCAGCACCTTCACAGGCTGCACATATGGCATCATAGTCCCTGACATCTGCCTGTAACACATAAAAAAAAATATTTGGGGTTGAAATCAAAGGTGCAGGTGAGCATACAGGGTTAGCACAGAGGGAATGCACATACAGAACTGCACACCTCGGGACTGAAAACTGGGCCCACCTCAGTGTCTGCTGATAATCATACTTTCATGGCACCCAAAGGACTTAAAAAACATTCATTAAGCTTCACAATACTCCTGTGTTCATTCTACAGGTGATTAAACTAAGGCAGAGGTTGGGGCCTGAGGAGTGCGTCAGAGTCAGGGAGGGAACTGCTCCAGGCTCCAGGTTCCACTGTTTGCCTTATTTCACATATACTACCACCTGTTCAGCAAAAATCACACAGCATATTCACACAGTTAAAAAGGTTATTGGAATTTGCAATCATTTGCAATTAGGTATTTGAATACTGCGAAAACTAATAAGACATTACGGAAAAGGCAAATGAGTTAACTTTGTTGTGAAATTATAATTTATCATACCTGGATACACACCACTCCATTGGGAATTTCCCACTTAGGCTTGTTGATGTCATACAGAACAACAGAAGCTCCTGCTTTGGCAAGAGCACATCCCAGCTGGTATCCCACATAGCCACCACCTCCCGTCACCACGGCTCGCATCGCGCTTGTGCTCAGTGCTCCAGCACTCCCATGCCATTTGGAGTCAGGGCTCGGCTGCGAGGGTGTTGCTACTCCACTCAGGATAAGTTTTGTGTCAGTGAAATACTGTCTGGTATTACCAGACACGTGTAACAATTCCTCCTCCTCCATGGTGAAGATTGCTCCATAGCGCTCCTGGACGCAGACGATCCCAGGGAGTTTCATGGTAATGAGCTCTACTCACAGCAGCAGAGTCTGACTGTAATGCAACCTGTTTAACAAAGACAAAAGCAAAACAAAGTTTCTTTCAAAAGACTCATTTAAATTTTCTGTCTAATTGTTTTGGTTTCGTCATTCACATTTTACAAGTATTTCAGATGTCTGTGTGCAATATTAGAGACAACAGCCTGAAAATGAGTAACAAAGGTTGCATATTTTTGGACTAAATATTTGTTTGCAAATGGCATCCAGAATAATAGAAGAAAAACTAAAAAAAAAAAATAAAAAAATCCCAAAACCCACTATTTTGCCTAACACAGAGAAGATGAATTCAAATGTTTGCCACAAATGGGTCAACATTAGACTAATGGTACAGACCCTAATTCTTTATTAGCATAAGAGAAATTGCTGGTTATGTGAAATTGTGAAGTGCATCTCCTGGTCAGTTCAGTTCATCCTGGCCTGTGTCACAGCTCAAAGATGACTTTAGGGCCCAGATGTGCCGTAGGGCCAATCTCAGTTTGAACTCATGAATTGTCAGGAAAACTCTAAAGATGAACAATCGCATTTCAGTTTCTGTGCTTAAAAACCAAGCACACAGGGCCAAGCAGAACAGCAGCTAAATCCAACATCCCCTGGAGCCAAGGAAATCCTCAATGCTTCTTTCACTCATCCCTGGTTTATCACAGTCACACATCTGACAGGAGAGGTATTTCCAGCTCCTTTCTAAGTAGCAGGAGCCGAGTGTAAGTTAAGAACACACTGAGTTGTTATCATTGGCAGTGATGGAGTTAAGATAGAAGAGGATTTGCAGGAAGGAATGCCTGATCCTTACTTTATAACTTTAGAAGGTGTATCAGAGAACAAGGCTATCAAATCCCTCACTTTCGAGGGGAAGGTGAATAACAGAGCTGCTACGTTACAGAAAGGGTCAATGAGTGCGTTAAGGAAAAACTAACAGTGAATTGTTTATTTCCCGAACACGGAGGCTCTTGCCCATCTGTGGATTCAGCACTGGCAGTCAGGGCACTTCAGAGGCTGTGGCCACTGACTCCCTCTATCCCCCACATCCCTGCCCTGGCCACAATGGGAGATTCAGAGCCACCCAACCCTGTGGTCAGCCCCTGGTGCTCCACAGCAGGTCTACCTGGGTGACCACCTCCGCTGCGCCCGCCCCATGCCAGCCCCTGCCCCATGCTCCTTGGGGTCCTGCAGCACCCCAGTCCCCTCACCCTGCAGCATCTCTGGCATCCCACTGCACTCCCAGCTCCCACAGGCTCCCTTGGGTCCCACAGCACTCCTGAGTCCCACTTATCTGGCAGCATCCTTGGGATCCCACAACCTTCCTGGGTATTGCTCATCCCACAGCATCCCAGGGATTCTGCTCATCCTACAGCACCCTTGGGAGCCCAGAGCATCCCTGGGATCCCACAGCATCTCACAGCATCCTTGGGTTCCCAGAGTATCCCTGGGATCTCAGAGTATCCTATGGTGGCTCTTACCTCCAGGTGTCTTCACACAGCTGCGACCGCTGCACAAAAGCATCCTGTCTGCAGTGAGGGCTCTGTCTGCACTGAGGTACCTGCTGGACAGGTTGTTCAGGAACAAAACGTCACCTCCTCCTTACCTGCTGGACAGTCAGTGTTGGTACATGGCTCAGAAAGGAGCAAAACATCAGAGACACCTGCAAAACATCAGGAATCCCCAAAGAGGAAACATAAGCAAATAGGCACTAAGGTCCCTGCCCACCTGAGCCAGCAGTGGGTCCCTGTGGTCATTTGAGCCTGGGAGGATGGGAAAAGGGTCAGGAGCTGCAGAATTTCAGAGTTACCCATTCCAGGCAAAAATGAAGCTTTGAACACGCTTACCTGTTCCGTTGCAGCTGTGCCATGTCTGATCGCTCGTATTAAATATTAATCATTTAAAGACACACTGAGCTGTGTTAGAGCAGGAGGAACTCCAACAAGGCACAGCTCAAGGTGATACTCGATACAGAGTGAGGTTGGATTCTCACACATGTCTGAGACTTGGTTTGCCTGCTCACCCTGAAATAGCAATTCCCTGAGGGCTCAGCATGTGCCAGCACTGGCACAGGGCTATGAGTAGTGTGACTCCAGACAGCTCTAACAGCTTCCAAGGTCTTATGTGCCCTCCCTCCCCCTTCCCACAGGCTCCTTAAAACCAGTGTTTGGTTCAGTTCTTCTTTATTATTGGATTGAAAGGATATTATTTGATTGACAAACACAGATTGTTACTTATGACGTTTTTACAAAGCTGTTGAACGACATTATTTTACATAAATATAACTCTCAGTCCTCTCACCACCTGTTATTGATAAATATTACTTTCCATATTTTTGTGCTATTTCTGAAATTCCTCAGACTAACAGACAGTAGCTGTAGCAGCAGCTTCATCAGAGGAGGTGTTTAGTCACCCTTTCTTCATGGCAGCTCCTGGGCTCATTCCAGCACTGCTGTCCTGTGATGGTTCCTCCTTCTTCCAGTTTCTCATCCTCCAGAATGATCATCTTTATAAAGTCATTCTCAACATGAAGCAGTTAATGGAGATCCATTAAAACCATTCCTGCATCCATTAGTGGTGAACTCCTTTGGTTTGTGACACTGTGTTGTTCTTGGGGAACATTTCTTCACGTGTCCCATGTTTTCACTTCTGGGGTTGTTTTTCATTTGGTTTATTTTCTTTCTCAATGAGATCAGAAGGTGTCATCATAGGAACAGGAATGACAAAGCCTACAGTATGAGGAATGTACTCGACCAGATGATTAATACTCAGAAACAAAACGAGGTTTTCTGGAACAGGTGGGTGGTTATTTGATTTTAGAAGAAAGAAAGAATGATCAAACTTAACAAAATGCCAAAACCAAACGCTATTTTAAGGAATTTGTGATCCTCTTGGCAAATAGGTCTTGTTTTCAGATAATGATCCACAGAATCAGCAAATGAGAACTTCTTTGGCTTGTAGCCAAGTTGATTTCGTGCCTTGTCTATTCGGAAAGTGTGAGTTACAGTAACATTCCACACCTGAAATCCAAAAGGACAGTTAAGGAAGTGACTTTAATATCTGATTTTCTAGAACTTGGATGAAAATATGTCAATGATATTACAATTAAAACAGAACAAAACCAGAGCAGAGAATCCTGTCTGCATCCACAGGGCATAGCAGGTATTCCATGAGAATTTGGG